GATCGGCCAAACCTGCCGCGTCAGCAGGTAAATAAGCTGGCCCGGCCCGCCCGGGGGCTTACCCTGGCGAGCTGTGTGCCAGACGTTGCCGACCCCTGTTCTAGAGTCACATTCTGCTAAAGGTTCCCGAGAAGATGAGCCTCAGGTCTGGTGGAAGAGGATGAAATTTCATTGGAGTTAGGTCTGAATTTGGCCTGTTCTCTTCTGGGGAAACATCATTTCTGTGACACTGAACCTGTTGCTTTATTTGGCAAATGCAGTGAGATCCACTCATAACACATTTACCGGTAGGAAAATTTATTTTATTCTAAAGTAAATTAAAAATTCCAAATTGTTTCTGTGAATCACAATGTGTGTATTGTAGCTGTGGTTTGTAGTGAATCACACCGAATAACTTCGCTATAAGGTGAGAAGAAAAAAGACTTCACTACATGAAGGTTCCTTTGTATTCAGAAATCTTAATCTATCCTTTACATGTCAAGGGGCATATTGGTTTTCATGGCTCAGTTAAGGAACCTAAATGCGCCAATCTCATTGAAACAGAGTAGTGTGGAGCTGATGTTCACCACTGGAAAGGAAGATGCTGAGTTGAATTTAATGTCACTTTCAGAAATAAAATATTTTAGAGGGTTTAGTTTTATGTAGAAAATGACTTGAACACTGTTTATTGTGGCAGAACTAGAGACAGTTCTTTGCTGTGGGATCAAAGCACATAGGCCTAGATTTTTAAAGATATTTTTAGGAACCTATCTCCCAAAGGTGCCATGGAAGAAATAGTTGCTTTTTTTACTCTGTATAACAGAAAATAATTTCAGTTCACATTCAGGTTGGACTTAGCAAACTTTCAGCAGTTTTTTTTAGCAGTTTCAACAGTATCTCTCTCCCCCCCTCAAAGCTGTTTTGAGGAATGAGTAGACTTTCCTCATTAGTCATCCCTGCATCTTCACTTTTCTTTTGCGAGACACTGAAGAGACCATGATTTGATTACAGCATTGAGTGATGCCCAGGAAAGCGCTCTCATTGAAATAATCGTAGTGACCACTCGAGAAGCTGCTGAAGGTCACCCTCCTGTGGGCAGAGGAGCAGGCAAGAAGGTCAGTGGGTTTTAGTCTCAGATATTTATTATGTTGCGATCACAATTGTCCTCCCTACGTGCTCTGCCAGAAGCACTTCCCTAGCCACAGGCACGTCGGCAGAAAGAGAGCAGCGTTGTCTTTACAAGACAAACATGATGCCTTTTGACCTTCAGACAAAACATCTTATCAGTGGCTATTGAACGAGATGAGCTTTTAGAGGAAGCTCAGCTCCGTGGAAGCATGTTAACGACACACAGGGCTTGTCTATACTTACGCGCTGGTTCGGTGGCAGGCAATCGAACTTCTGGGTTCGATTTATCGCGTCTTGTCTGGACGTGATAAATCGAACCCAGAAGTGCTCGCCGTCGACGCCGGTAATCCTGCTCAGCGCGAGGAGTATGCGGAGTCGACGGGGGGAGCGTGCCTGCCGCGTCTGGACCGCGGTAAGTTCGAACTAAGGTACGTCGACTTCAGCTACGTTATTCACGTAGCTGAAGTTGAGTACCTTAGTTCGAATTGGGGGGTTAGTGTAGACCAGGCCACAGTGACCATTTTATCCATCAGTAGAGGTCGTTATAAAGCAGCCTACATCCAAACAGCACTCTGGTGGTTCAACGCTAACTCAAGTATTTTATTTAAAAAAAAAAAAAGGTGGGAGGGAGAGAAATCCCATGGGGGGAAGAAATCTTTGCCTCAGCCAGGTGGTTTGTGTTAGTTAAAGGTGTATTAATATGCAAAGTTAACCTTGGGATAGGTGTAAAATTCCAACCAACTCCAAGAGTATTTTATAACTGAAGCAGAATGCTTTGTCTGTAGATCCTGTCAGCGAAAGAGAAGAAAATACAATTGGAAGATTGTACCAAAATTACTGAGCACTTTATTGTGGTGCTTCCTCAGCTCTTGGCAAAGGTAACTAGCAGCTGTTCTATGAGCGCATGTTAAATATTTCATTAAAATTCCTGCAGCACACTCATATCCTGTTTTCCTCTGCAGTATTCAGCAGATGCTGAAAAAGTGGCGAACCTCCTGCAAATTCCCCAGTATTATGATTTAGATGTTTACAGTACTGGACGTCTGGAGAAGGTGAATAGGAATTGGGGCAGTTGGATGTGTGTGAAATATAACAAATTTATGAGACAATTTACAGGGCATAGTGAGACCTTGTTACAGCCAGGAGACTGTTGGGACATGAAGAAATACTTATACCCTGTTGAAACCCTTCATATTTGAACTGAGGCCACCAGGGAAATGCTTTAACATTTGTCTGTATGGATATAGCAAGGTTGGCCTAAGGCCCTGGTGGAAAACGATTTATGGCTTCGTGCAGGAGGCCCAGCTTTGGGAATAAACTAATTCTTGCTTCTTGACCTCTTGTTGGGTGGAGAGGAGGGGGAGTTACAACATGTATCCAAGTTGGCATCTCCCAGCAGCTTACTACAGAAAGAAGTTGAATTCTCATTGGAGACTGTCTCCCTTATCAGCTGCTGAGGGAGGGTAGTAACTGCAAAGAGAAGAATGGGGATAGTATATCTGTATGTGGAGGAGGGGAATTCAGGAATGGAAGGATGAAATCCTTGAAATAGCAAAGCCCATACATAAGTGGAGTGGATTGCTAAAATTAACCCCCCTGTAAATATCCATAACAAGGCAAGGGAAAAATCACATCCATGTATTTCCAGCACAAAAAATTAGCTGAGGGGGCGATAAAGCAATAGCAATATGGCAGAAATGGGCTGTTATCTGTTTCTGTTTGTGTAACAAACAATACTGTCAGTGACCCACTCATGGGAATAAGCCCACCACAGAATGATGGGAGCTCTGAAACATGATTCATCTTTGTTACCGCAGCAGGCAGCCTTGTGTCTAGAGGGCCCTTTCTTTTGCCTCTTTCCCCTCAGTCTCTTCTACTGTTATTATTTAGAGTCATGTGTATTGCTAGACTTGGGGCTGAAATGGGTAATTAAGGTTTTAGGAAGGTATTAAGATATACAACTATACATACAAAATGATGGGGTCTAAATTAGCTGTTACCACTCAAAGAGATCTTGGAGTCATTGTGGATAGTTCTCTGAAAACATCCACTCAATGTGCAGCAGCAGTCAACAAAGCTAATAGAATGTTAGGGGAATGAAAGGGATAGAAAATAAGACAAAAATACCTTAATGCCTCTATATAGATCCAAGATACACACATATCTTTAACACTATGTGCAGTTCTGGTCACCCCATCTCAAAAAAGATGTATTAGAATTGGAAAAAGTATAGAGAAGAGCAACAAAAATGATTAGGGGTATGGAACAGCTTCCATATGAGGAGAGATTAAAAAAACTTCATACAATACACAGTCAACCTATGGAACTTGTAGCCAGGGGATGTTGTGAAGGCCAAAAGTATAATTAGGTTAAAAAAAAAGACTTGGATAAAGTCAGGGAGGAATAGTGCATTGTTGGCTCTTAGCCAAGATGGTCAGGGACGCAACCCCATGCTCTGGGTGTCCCTAAACCTCTGACTACCAGAAGCTGGACTGGATGACAGGGGATGGATTGCTGAATAATTGCTGTTCTGTTCATTCCCTCTGAAGCATCTGGCACTGGCCACTGTTGGAAGACAGGACATTGGGTTAGATGGACCATTGGTCTGACTCAGTATAGCCGTTCTTATGTGACAGTAAGAAAGGTCTGTTATAAGACCTAGAGCAACAAACAAAATCTTGTCCTGTAATCCCTGCCTGTCCTCCCCAAACGGGCATTTATTTTGTTTTCAGTTGTGTAAAGTAAAAAGGCATAAACATAAATAGGCATAACTTTGACTTGACTGTATCATCATGATCACTTGCAGCACGTAGATGCTTTGCTGAGAGTGGTGAAAGGCATTGTAGCCGAACACTCTGACATGGATGTCCTCGAGGCTTGCTCCAGGATGTATTATGTCCTCTGCAATGAAGATCTGGCCATCCACAGGAGGGCGGATCTTGCCAGAACTCAGCTGATAGACGAATTGGTGGACAAACTTAATGAGCTGCTGGATGATTCTTGGCATGAGGTGCGTGTGACTGGAAGTAGAAATACATGAAACATTTCAAGATCAAAATGAAATAAATACAAGGGAGAGATGTGAAGACTGGTAATACACTGGTTTTTCTTTGCTTGGGGAGAGCAAAGCTTACAGAGGCAGTGTGAATACTCTGAAAGGGCTGTCTGCTTACATTTTAAAGGAGTGAAAATTGCGTTCTGGCAGGAAGAAGGGGAAGAGAAGGGATGGTGTAGTCTATGGCACTACGGAATGGGATTTCTGGGTGTGCACTATCATGTGGATTCTTATGGCCAAAGCACCAATGGATATTCTAGCCCTGAGCTACAGAGGGTTAATGTTGCTATTTGAAAATGCCCATCTAAGCGCTAATGAGAAGCACTAGGTGGATCTGTTATATATGGAGTATTTTAGAGGAGGTATAATTCTACATTTGTACATATTGGCAGTAATCAAAAAGCTCTTTATAACTTTGCTGCTGTTTTGAGTTTTTTTTTTAAAGATAATTCTGTAGGTACTATTAGATCACAGTAAAGTAGCTTTTGTGACTTGAAAGTAGCTTTTGCTTTTTGGAAGGAGGACTGCTGAGTCTCTCTCCAAGTTTTTCATTAGTTCTCAAAAGCAGAAACAGCCGGTGGAGATATGAATAGCTTGCTGGCTGATCTCAACAACAGGAGCCTGTAGCTGATGAACTGTGCCATCGCTAACAGGTGTCATACCATAGTATGGGAGTTCAAACAAGTGGATTTTTATTGGGTGCTGGGATACTGTAAATGTGTCAGCCAAAAAAAAAAACCACATTGGATTTATTTTGGTAGTTTAAATAGACATCTATTCCAATGTGTGAGTATTTTTTAAATTAGAAATAAGCTTTTAAGAGGTCGACTGGGGTTCTTGAACACTTGTGTAGTGTGGACCACAGCTAAATAAAGAGGTTGTCTCATGGAACCCCTCTCTTCTAATTCTTCATTGGAAGGAGTACCTCGTTTACCATTTGTGATTCTGTCGTATCCTTGTGGAAACCACAGCAATTGCATATATGGGAAAATAATATTAGGAAAATATTTAATGTATTTTTAGCTGTCTTTGTGACTTGGCAGCTGACAACAAGGAAAGTCAGCACCATGTGAGCAGCTAGCTCTCTGCAGACCACAAGCAGGTGCTTGATGGGTCAACAGTGACCACACACCACAAAGTGAGAAGGTCTGCATTAGACTTTGTAGTTTTTATTACCAAGACGCTAGAGGCAGCTGTGGAGTGTTCAGTTATGAGGATGTTATAATACGAGAGCAGCAGCATGGCATTTCCCAGACATGTAACTTCTTTTCATCCCATGTACATTATTCTTTATCTTAGAGAGGGGTCTAGGGAACATAGTCGAGGGGCAAATGGTTCCCGAAACTGGGATGAAGTCTAATTCAAGCCCGTGGTTAGTAGCGGAACTAGCAGCTGGCCCACAACACTTCTGTTCATTCTGTTCTCTTTCCTAACTCGTGTGATTTAGGGAGAAGGTCTTTGCACAGATGAAGAAGGAGTTTGCCGAATATATTCCACTTTGAGAAGAATAGCAGCTTTTCATAAGTGAGATGTTTGTTTACATGATTACTGCCTTCCTCTCCTATACCGTTAGCATACTGTAACCTCACCGAGCTGCTATAAAAGCAGGAATTGCTGTTGGTTGACTGGCTAATCAAGTTTACATAAAAGAATCAAAATAGTCGCTAGGTGTGATGTTTGTGCATAGAACGGTCAGGTGGAATTCCTTTTATCACAAGTACTTTTTCCTGTCAGTTTCTAGACTCTCCTAAGTGTTGGCAGGCTTTCTGAGCAGAGAATTCTTTTTGAACTTACTAGTAGGGCTTGAGTGGCAGTGATGAAGTCAATCAGAGGTCTGCACGTGGACTGCTTACGGGATTGGGATATCACTTCTGCATGTAGGCCCTTTCCTTTGGGCTGTTTCTGTGTCTTCCCTCTTAGCTGGATACCATTTGAGACACCTTAGTGTCGAGACTGGCAATCAGCGTGTAGGGTAAGAGCACTATGTTTGATAGCAGGCACAATATGTTAACTCTAATTTGTCTGGTCTCCATCTCTCAAAGAGCAAGACTCTGAAGCCCTGCTCTCATGTAGTGCAGACTGCTCTTGCTTGCTCACTAGTGGCCCAGTTCTGCAACCCTTACTCATCTTGAGTAGGATCTTACCAATGACTTTATTGAGACTCCTCATCAAGTAAGATACTACTGAGTGTGGCAGAATTGGGCCATGGGTTCGGAGTAGCTTTCCCTTCATCTTGCATTGCTGAGATTCCCTGTTGCTCCAAATACTGTTTAAGGCATGAAGCCTGAGATCTCTTTTGGGAAGTACAGTATAACCTCAGAGTTACGAACACCTCGGGAATGGAGGTTGTTCATAACTCTGAAATGTTCGTAACTCTGAACAAAATGTTATAGTGGTTCTTTCCGAAGTTTACAACTGAACATTGACTTAATACAGCTTTGGAGTCCGGTGGCACCTTAAAGACTAACAGATTTAACTAACACGGCTACCCCCTGATACCTAATACAGCTTTGAAACTTTACTATGCAGAAAAAGAATGCTGCTTTCCCTTTATTTCTTCAGTAGTTTATGTTTAACAGAGAACTGTACTGTATTTTCTTTTTGGTTTTTGTCTCTACTGCTGCCTGATTGTGTACTTCCAGTTCCAAATGAGTTGTGTGGTTGACTGGTCAGTTCGTAACTCTGAGCTTCTACTGGATGAGTGTTTGGAGAGAGCATTCCTGGTTTGTGTGGAAAAAGTGTCCAAGTTCAGTTTCCTTCTGCATAGTCCCATTCCTTTGGCTCATGCAAGTTGCATTTTTTGTAGTAGGAACAAGACTCCGTGATAACTACTGAAACAATAGGCTAAAGCCTAATTAATATTGCCATAGTAAACTGTATTTCCCTTTTTCTATCTATACTGGAAGATTTCAGGTATCTCTTCTTAGCAGATTTCATTGTAGAGGAAACAAATCATGACCAGCTTTAACATTTATCATCAAACATCCTTGTGCTTTACCTGCCAACATAGAGTCAGTATAGATGGAGATCGTTTATTTCCAAATTAATTATATGGATCATAGGGCACAAATGGATCCAGCACATGCAAAACTGGTTTAATTTTTGTGTGCAGTGTTTGTTAATTAGTTTTCACTCGAAGTCATTGATATCCATTAGATGCTGGCAAAAAGAGGATACATTTTACTTTTTATATTTGTAGGTGAGATTTTTCTTACTTCCCCTAATAAATTTAGGTATCACTGTGAAGGTAATCAGCCTCTCTTCACCAAATAAAAGCATAATCTCTTTGGTAACTGTGATCATTTCTTTAGGAACAGCTTGCATGTAGGGAGAAATGGGACTGTTAAAAACAGTAGCTTTTATCTCTTCTCTTTATGATTATTTTAGCATGGTATTTCATTTCCTTTTTGACTGGCAGTGCTCACAATCTCACCAAATGGAATCTCTATGGGAAGACTTCAAAGCTGCTGGTTTTTGAGATGGAGTATGGGAGTTTACCTGTTCAGGTAAATTGATGATACTGAGCACTAATAAAGCATTTATTTTATCCAAGTACTTTACAAACATTTACTGAACCTTACACCAGAGCCCTGCATGGGATTATTTTTTAATCTTGCTCCTGTCCCGCCCCACAATACCCACTTTCACCCACTCCCACATTGTTTCTTGCATTTTTATCCTGCTCCTACCTGCAAAAGCCTTAGATCCTGCAAATCCTGCAAGAGCAAGAGACTCCTCCATGCTACTAAAATAAACCCCCAACAGCAACACAAAAGAAAATGGTCGGTTAATATATTGTATATATAAACAGAATTCAGACACAATTTTTACCACTAAAAGTATAAAACAAATCTTGCTTAAAGCATGTAAAAAAATTTTTTAACTCCTGTTATAATAGACACCAAATCTTACTATCCTTCACTTAAATTTAAGTATTGAAACCTTTACTTAAAAAAGAAAAGAAAAGAAAAGAAAAACTTGCTTTACATTGCTGAAATTCCATTTATGACAAACTGACAAGAGATTTAGTGTTTTCCCACAAATTACTGCAGTCTGTTTTTTCCCCCACCCAATCCCGCCCACAACAAAATACATTTTAGCCACTCCTGTTATTGTGGCAGCAGGTCCTGTGGGACCCACGGGATCCCAGTCCTGCTTCAGGGCTCTACCTTACAACAGCATCCTGTGAGGGAGATGGATGTTGTTATTCCCATTCCACAGCTTGGGAAACTGAGGGTACGTCTATACTTACCTCTGGGTCCGGCGGTAAGCAATCGATCTTCTGGGATCGATCCCGGAAGTGCTCGCCGTCGACGCCGGTACTCCTGCTCGGCGAGAGGAGTACACGGAGTCGACGGGGGAGCCTGCTTGCCGCGTGTGGACCCGCGGTAAGTTCGAACTAAGATAGTTCGACTTCTGCTACGTCAATAACGTAGCTGAAGTTGCGTATCTTAGTTCAAAGTGGGGGGTTAGCGTGGACCAGCCCTGAGACACAGAGAGCCAATTTCATATCTGGTATAACCCTGTTGAAGTCAGTGGAATTAGGACATGGATTAATTTAATTCAAAGATTGTCCAATGCTGTTATTGTCTGAGTCTGGATTAGTTGTTTGCTTAGAATCAGAGACAGGATTTCTCTTTCTCAATTGTGCAGTGTTGCGCTGAACAAAGAACAAATAATTCAGGGATTTGCTTGTCACTCGCAGATTGAATTTAACCAGAAGTGAAACTATTTCAGACCCGTTACTTGCAAAAGGAAGTGAAGCCAATTTGCTTATTAACTATAGTTAAGGCTATGAGTTTGTCATGGAGGTCATGGATTCTGTGACTTTCCAGAACCTCTGTGACTTCTGCAGTGTCTAGCCCGGGAGCCTTCTGAGCAGCTGGGGCAATCCCTGGCCCAGCCATACTGGCCACTGCTGGGGCAGTCTCCAGCCACCGCGCCCCGCTTCCAGCCGCAGCAGGAGTTTGGGTGTGAGAGGGGGCTCAGGACTGGGGATTGGGGCACGGGAGAGGGTGAGGGCTCTGGGCGACGCTTACCTCGGGTGGGGGCTCCCCAGAAGCGGCAACATCCATCCTTGGCAGAGGTGCAGCCAGGGGGCTCTGCGCGCTGCCTCTGCCTGCAGGCATCACCCATGAACCTCCCATTGGCTGCGGTTCCCAGCCAATGGGAGCTGCGGAGCCAGTGCTCAGGGCGGAGGCAGCGTGCAGAGCTGCCTGGCCACGTCTCCGCCTAGGAGCAGAGGGAGGGGGATGTTGCTGCTTCCAGGGAGGCACGGAGCCAGGTAGGGAGTCTACCAGCCCCTCCAACATCCCCTCCCCCAGCACCAGTGGGGGTCCCGGGCTGTGCCCCCCGTACCTGTGGGGATCCCGGGCTGCCCCCCCCACACTCGCGGGGGTCCTGGGCTGCACCCCCGAGCACCCATGGCGCCCCCCCGGGTTCCCCTCCCTCCCAAGATTTAGTCAGAGGGATATAGTACAAGTCATGGACAGGTCACGGGCCGTGAATTTTTATTTACTGCCCGTGACCGGTCCATGATCTTTACTAAAAATACCCCTGACTAAAACGTAGCCTTAACTATTATCTAAACTACAAACCTCAAGTTGTCTGTTCAGCTTTAACGCTGCTGGAGGTAGAAATACTGCTCAACATTACAGGCTGATAGCCTCCACTGGCCATGATTACTTAGTGCAAGTTTAACAAAGCACTTAAGCGTGTGCTTAGTCTGCATTGAAGTCAATGAGCCTTAATGCTTTACTGAATCAGGAACTTAATCCAGAGACAAAGGTTCTGAGGAAGTCATGCTTAGTTGCCTGCAAACCTCCTGAATCTGGTTTTGTGATCTAAATGTCTCATGCTGCAGAAATATTTGTACAAGCAGCATACAGAATATGAGATGTTGATTCTTTGCTTTCACTACAAAGCCTTTCGCATTATTAAAAGATATGTACTTTTATTTGCAGATGATCCTACCAGCTCTACAGTGCACATATTTTGCTCTCTTATGGCAGCTAGCTTCAGTTGTGGAGAGGTCATCTTCCAAGGTTGGCCAGTGCAAATAATTCTGAAACCAAGTGGTGCACTTTAAAGGTTCACATTCACTTGTTGTCCTTTGATGCCTGGGAGAGACAAGCTTTCCCAAAATGATGCTGTGAACATTTTGTTGGAGATACCAAATTCGGATTAGGCATTTATCTCTCCTGAGTTTTAATATTGGAAAAGTGGAGACTTTTTAAAATCTCTGTAAGGGCATAATTAAATTAAACAAGTGCTCATCTGTGTTCAGTGAAAAGTTCTGTGCTTCTGAATTCTGGCATATGGTGGAGACAAGGATTGCTTGCTAAATATAAACCAGTGAAAATACAATATTCAATGAAAACCCTTAGAATTCAGTCTTTACATATATTTGTTTGTGTTTAGTGCACTATGGCATGCAGGAAGAAAGCCCGGGGAAAGTGTTAGGCAATCTGACCATCACTTTTCTGTTATTATTATTATTTATGAATCGATATTACACAGCACCAAAAGCATGCTAAGCACTTCATGGGGTGTTTTAGTTTTAAATTACAAGAATGAGAACTCTCCTACATTTTGATTCACATGCAAATAAAAACAACAGTGTAGTCTCTCTATCTAGAGATTTCTGGTTGCACTGAGTAGTGCTGCTTTCTTCAGTCTGTCCTCTTCCTCTTTTGTAGAAGATACTGACATGGAACTGGCATCTTTTGTTTTTTGATGTATCAGAAGTGATAGAAGGGTGCTAACCATTTAGGGACTGATTCAATAGATATACATGTCTTGGTGCTCTACTCCTGTCCTTGGCTAGGTGTCCATGCCCATCATTTCTCTAATCTTTGTTTTTTCCTTCATAAATTTTTAGGAGACTCTTTTGGCATTGAGCAGAGAGTTGAGATTTTTCTGCCAGATTTGTGCATGCTACCTCAGCCATAAAGATAAAGATTTAAGTGAAAAGGTCAGTGGCTCTGTAGGGGCTTGTTTGTTAAATGGTGTGTTTTGCTCACTCCTCCTTTAACTCCTTTTCTTCATTTATTTTTCTTTCTAAAAGTCTTATTTTAAAATAAGTGGTGTCCTTGTTAATGAGAACACTGAACTACCACGGCGTGCTGTGCAAGCACTGGAATGCATCTGCATGGAGCCAGTTGCAGGACTGGGGGCTAAGTCTCAGTTGCAGTGTTAATTAAAACTGAACTGAAAATGTAAATAGGAAGATTTTTTTCTCCTCAACAATAACTTGTGCTAAATGCTACCACTGGTAAAACCCTTGAGCTGATGTAGCCAGCTCTTCATTAATAAAATATATTGTAAGGGTTTGCAAAATATACTTAAGTTTTACATATAAAATAATGGTAAGACTACTAAAATGCACAATGTAATATAACTTTTGTCCTCCCCCCACAACTTTCCCAGCCTCTGGGCTACAATGTGGGTCTCTGGCACTGAGGAGGGAAGAAACAAATGATGTCTAGAGGTTTGAGCACATGACTGGATGCTAGGAACTCCTGAGTTCTAATTGCAGTTCTGCCATTGACTCCCTCAGTTTTTCCATCTGTAAAGTGGAGATAACAAAATTTACCTTGAAAAGGTGTTGTTGGGATGGGTTAATATTTGATTTGAAGACTAAATGTATTAACCTAATTATATAAACTGAGGTCACAGCGTGGTGTGTGCTGTGGTGTCACCCTGGATTGGGAATTGGCAATCTGTGAGACTCAAGGAACCTTAAATGGGTGGTGGCAGAGGAAACAAAAGGTTGCTCTTTATGTTGCTGATGTGCTCTGAATGCCCTTTCTAACTTGGGTAGTTGGCAGGGCACTTTCAGCACATATTATTGAAGTAAATTGAATTTTCATATTTGCATTTGCAGTTCTCCTTTTAACAATCACTACACTCACTGTTGTTATGAGTGTATTTACTGCTCTCATTTGTTTATAAATGCCTGAAAAAATGGGTTTAATTGCTGAGAATGTAACTTTGGGCTTGTAGGAATAATAGTTGATAATGGAGATGAAAAAATATCATTGTTCTGACAGCTTTTCCCCAAATTCCTAAATCCTTGTTTGGCATGTGTGTATGTTACAGGCCTTCATGATACTCTGTGATTTACTGATGATTGTGAGTCACCAATCTTCACGTGAAGATGAAGCTGTAGGAGTCCTTCAGTATCTTCCCAGCACATCCCTTCAGTCAAAAATGCTCTTGTTTATCCAGGATCATGTTTTCACAGAGGAGAAAGAAGAAATCAAAGGTCAGCCACTGTCCTTAGCAAGGAAGTAAACTAACATTTTCTGATGTCATTCATCTGCAGCATTTGACATTGCCAGACTGAGGGGCTGCTAATTTTTTTGATTTCTTTACAAATAGAGCTGTAGCATATGAATACAAACAAAATGGATCACTTAGTATACACAGATTTATGTCTGCTGTGGCTTTACCAGAGGAGCTATTGCTAATTGATTTTTATATGGAAGGGGCTGAGGTACATAGTACATTGATAGGTAGCACTGTAAAATCCTGAGATAGATTTTAATGGCTTAGAATTATTCTGTTAACCACGTTCCTGGAGGGATTTTAGGTGAGGAACTGTGGATCAGTTGATGTATAATAGTTCCATGCCATCAAACTAGGGTTTGATTTTGCAGAAAGTATTATGGTATTTGCTGTTCTTATATCATTTTCAAACAGATTTAGAATAGTAATGCAAAAATTAGGTTTTGTCGTGAATGATTTTGAAAAGATGCTGCTAATTCTTTATGGCACCAAGAATGCGGTGATACAACCTTGACAAATTGGAGAATTGGTTAGAAATCAACAAGATTAAATTCACTTAGGAAGGAAAAATCAAGTGCACAACTACGAAATGGGTTATAAATGGCTAGGTTGTAGTACTGCTGAAAAGGATCTGAGGGTTATAGTAGATCAGGCATTGGGGCCTGCAACAGAGCACCCTAATGAATGCAGCGGGCCTGTCGTAGGCTGCCTTGTTGGCTACACCACTTGATCAGTTGGAAGGGTCAGCAGACGAGCTCTTAAGCAACAGTTCAGTGGCTGCTCAAACCATTTGCCCACAACGGCGATAGCTCCCTGCTCCCATCTTGATTTCAGTCCTGCTCCCACCTTGTTCTCAGTCTTATTCCAGTCCTGCTTTTGCCTGGGACCCTGCCTTGGATCCAGCCTTGCTTCACTCCAGGTAACCTGGTTCTAACTCCTCTCATCCGATTTCTTACTGTGGTGTCTGACCTCTGGTCCTAGGCACCAAGAACTGTTCTAACCATTAGGCCAGACTCCTGGTTGGACCACTAGGCATGCCCACCCACGCCCTTGTCACTGATGATAGTGGATCACAAATTGAGTAAGAATTGTGAAAAAGGCTAATATCATTCCGAGGTGTATTAACAGGAGTTTTGTACCTAAGACATAGGAGGTAACTGTCCCACTCTGCTTGGCAGTGGTGAGGCCTCAGCTGGAGTGCTGCGTCTAGCTTTGGGCACCACACTTTAAGAAACATGTGGACAAACTGGAGAGAGTCCAGAGGAGAGCAACAAAAATGATGAAAGGTTTAGACAGCCTGACCTCTGAGGAAAGGTTGAAAAAATGGGGTATGTTTAGTCTTGAGAAAAGAAGACTGAGTGGGGACCTGATAACAGACTTCAGATATGTCAAGGGCTGTTAAAAAGAGGACTGGGATCAGTTGTTCTCCATGAAGGTAGGACAAGAAGTAATTGGCTTAATCTGCAGCAAGGTAGATTTAGGTTAGATAATAGGAAAATCTTCCTAACTATAAGGGTAGTTAAGGTCTGGAATAGGCTTCTAAGGGAGGTTGTGGAACCCCCTTATTGGAGGTTTTTAGGAACAGGTTAGACAAACACCTCTCAGGGATGGTCTAGGTTTACTTGGTCTGCCTCAGTGCAGAGGGCTGCACTAGCTGACCTTTTGAGGTTCCTTCCAGGACTACAGTTCTATGATACTCATCCAGCAACTTGCTCTGAAGAACTGAACATGAGGAGAAACATATTTTCAATTCCTCAGTCCTCCCAACAAAGGGTCCCAACTTCCCCTTCCAAACTCACTGTCTTACTGTTGCCCCTACAATAAACTCAACAAACTCCTTCGTCCAGGAGCGATTCCTTGGCCTGTGTTATCTGGCAGCTGCCCAATGTCAGTTCTAACCCTGACAGTCATTTACTCCTGGTCAGCCTACCTGCCTCTCATTGGTTCCTAGGCCAGAGGCTGGGTTTGAGAGGCAGAAACAGGTCATATGGGATTCCTAGGCCAGAGATCCCGGAAGCTTTCTGGCAGCGAGGAGGGAGAATTCACTCCAGGCAAGAGTCTAACCCTCCCAGGCTTTCCTTCTGCAGGTAACTCTCTCCAAGCACCTCCAGCAACCAGGCTGGCAAAAACCGTAAAAGCAATTGGTTCCCAAATTTGTTATTATTTGCACTGAAGTAATCATGGGGTCCCCAGTTATGGACCAGGATGCCATTGTGCTAGGCACTATACACACACAGAACAAAATGACCTGCCCCAGAGAGTGTACACGCTAAGTAAATGTCAAATGTCAGTGTTGATAACCACTTGGAAACTTGCAACTGAATTCTTCTCTCATGGGCTGTGCGTACTGTGAGTGGCGCTGGCATTGATTTATTTTAAGGAAAAGATGTTGATATGGTTCGCTGGTCTTTTTCTGTCATATGTGTTTGGTTTTTGTTCTGTGTTCTGTGTTTTGGTCCTGTCCTACAGCTATAGCCAGGATCTTACAAAGAGATTCTGGCGGGTAGAAATGTGAAATCCTTACAAAGATCAGAATAGAAAGGATATGCAAATGAGTAGCTTGCGCTGTCATCAGCTGTGATCTTTGAAATGGTAATAAACCTATATCCTTTGGAAAGGATAGTGTCTGTTATTTAGAGAGTTGACTGAACAGCTGAGTTTGTGTTATTCGGGTTAAAGTTGGCCTTAAAAATAAAATACATTGAGTAAAACGTTAGAACAAAGCCTTAGCATCATACTTATTTCCCTAGATTTGACAGAAGAGGAGGAGAGGGAAAAGGAGAGCTACAAATTGAATGATTTGCACAGGAGGCGGAGTCTTCTTGCAGTCTATTGCAAGCTAATTGTGTTTACCGTGGTGGAGATGTCTGCGGCTGCTGAGCTCTATAAGCACTATATGAAGGTAACACTTAGCTTTGAAAATGCATTTACGCCATTATAGTGACTCTAGTGCTTGTGGAAGATGCTGGATTAGCAGCCTTGGAGGCCAGAGTCATCTCTTTATGCACAAAATAGTTGCAGAAATGAACAGTAGCAGTGCAGGCTTCTCCCCACTGCTCTGCTAATGTACCTCAGAGTAGAAATGAATGATTACTCAGAGACAGGGTAATTTAGTTCCCCGTTCGTTAACTCTTTGGCTTCTGTACACTTGGTCACTAGGATCACTCTAAACTTGAGTGAAATGAGTGGTTTCAGCTGGTGATGACACTTGGTCTCTACGTGGCCAGGGCTGGGTGTGAATCAGTGGTTAGGTGTGAAAAGCTCCATATTCTGTTTCCAACTAACAGATTCAGTCCTCCTGTCAGAATAATACTTAACTATTTTTCATTCATAGATCTCACAGTACTTTACAAAGGAGCATAAATAAAATTATCCTTGTGAAAGCATGTACAAAAAGTTCCTTTTAGCAAGATATCTAGGATCTGGAATATTTTATGAATTGTTCAGTTTTTCTTAGCAGTCTCTGTTTTTCCAGTGTACCCCCAGGTATTGTGTATTCATAAAGCTGTAGTAAGGTAGTGATGTTTCTGTTACGTATTTTTTGCACTAATAGACCTACAATGATTTTGGAGATATAATTAAAGAAACCCTGAGCAGGACGAGGCATAACAACAAAATCCAGAGTGCCAGGACGTTGATTCTCTGCCTGCAGCAGGTAAGAGTAATGCAGAAGGAAAGGGACTCTAATGAAAGCCATGCCCACACTATAATTTTCTATGTACCTTGTCATAGTTATTCAAACTAATTTAAATAGGTAGTGAAAAAGTCACTTTCTTGAATGCATGTAAGTGCTTTTCATTGTCAAAGCACCTTATGAGCCCTTTGGCCTAAGAGTAAAAACGTAATTATTTTTTGCCAAATACCTGATCTTTTAGGATTGTTAATATTCATGGAATACGGCACATGTCTTGTGTTGCAAGACACAGATTAAGGGCCTCTGGCTACATGGTGCTGAACAGCCTCAACTCCCACTGAAATTGGGGGTGGCTGGCATTTCTCCAGAGGTGGTCAGTGCCTTCTGGGATCATTGTTTCCATGCTTGACTAGAGAATTTAAATTAGATGTTTATTGAAGAAGTTGGACACACGTGATGATGCCCCCTGCTCCTCTAGTTACACCAACTCTGCTATAGCAGCATTGAGCCCGATAATCTGTTTTAGAAACTGCTCTAGCCTGGTTTCCTCATAGACATCTGTTCTCCCAGCATCCATGTCATACTCTTAAGTTGCAGAACAGACTCCTCCTAGAGTGACTGATACATGAGCTCTGCTGACTTCACACACTTCGCCCAGAGCTTAGATCCATGACCCAACCCCTGAAATATGAGATAAAGTGAGGGTGAGCTGCATTTGGCCACATATATTCTGCCCACATAGTCAGAAAGCCTGTTACATATCACATAGACAACTGGCCCAGGTTGGTCTTTGGTTGACCTTCAAAATTTGCAGGTCGACGGGAACAAACTACTTACATGTTCTATTAGAAAAAAAATTAGTAATAAGGTCTACATGTCTCTGTTGGCTCAGTCCTGCCCTCAACTACGTGGGCAAGCATTGCTGCCTCTCTTTCAAAACTAGCCGCTGTGTATCCATGCTCTGATTTTCTCTAACCCTCAGGGTGAGATTAAGCCCTTTGACCAGATCCACTGATCTCAGTGGGAGTTGAAGGCACTCATCACTTTGCAGGATTAGAGGCCTATGGGTGTAGGGAGGGCATCCTACCTGCTAAACAGAATGACATCCTTTGCAGATATTTCCCCATGCAGTGCTCAAACCTCTAAGGTTTGTTCCAAGTGAGTGTGATTCTTCAGCAAATGAATTTGTTTTGCACTTGTCCATTTCGTTTGCAAGGCTTCTCTCTACACGAGGTAAGTATTGTATGGCTGATGTGTTCTTCTTGTGCTTTTGTTGCCTGGAAGTTTACATGTTGGTGTTTGTGGTTTTGCAGCTGTTTCAGAAACATACAGAAACCCATGGTAGTACCAACAGCATGGATTCTTCTTTCACGAACATTAAAGAACTTGCTCGTCGCTTTTCACTGACATTTGGCTGGGATCAGGTGAAATCCAGAGAATCAGTAGCCATGATACACAAGTATGTTCCACATAACCATATATTGTCCATGGCATTGCCTTTGTTTTTCTTCTCTGTTAAATTACCTTGTCCCTTTTATTTTTTCCCCTCTAATAGAGAAGGGATTGAATTTGCCTTTCAAGGAGCTGCTGGAGTGGAAGGGAAATGCCTGCCTCCAAATTTAAACTTTCTGTTAATCATCAGTGAATTCTCCAATAAGCTACTAAAGCCTGACAAAAGATTAGTGTAAGTTACCTTCATTGCTTATTGCCAGACAAGCGAACTTAGATGATGCGTGTCATATGCATCACTTACACACACTTGTGCATAGATAGTTTTTGTACAGTGTATCTTTGTATAATGGATCGCTTGATCTGCATTGTTGGAAGAATTGCTCAAGTACTTCTCTGTCTGGTTGACTTTGGAAATCTGTTTGGTTTCCCATCAGAAGTGTGGATGATTGGACACTTTTTCAGTTTTGATTTCTTCTCTATTTCAGTCTATGCTAGCAGTTTTTTGGGATCATGCATCTACATACCCAATCTAGTTTTAACCATAATTACAACCAAATAAAAAAGAGGCCCCGGGGGAAAATGGTGTTAACATTATGTATGAGGGAAGGAGGTACATTCACTGGCAGGGGCAAATAGAACATTTTTTTAAGGGTGGTTTCAAGTGTTATTTCAGTTCTGTACTCGAGCAAAGCAGAAGAGGTTGAGATCGAGCTAATACTGTGACAATGGAATGGAAGGAGCCAAAACCACAATCCATATGACTGGGGCAGACTAGTTCTCTGAGGATTCTGGTACAAAATGTGTCGCATGGAGCTCTTCACTTCAGGAACAATGTCTCGGTGTGTCTTTGTAGAGTCCCTGACAGCGTGGGATTGTGGTTCTGATTGGCTCCTCTGGGTGCTATTGTAATGTAAATATTAAAAAATAATAATATAACACCGGGCCATTTGTTCTTGTGGCTCTGGCTATTTTGTATCCTAGTACAGAGGAACATGATTGTATCCGTTAGGCTTGGTATACACTATCAACTTATGTCTGTATAACTACGTCATTCAGGGGTGTGGAAAATCCAGTCAGAACACCCCTGAGCAACACAGTTGTACTGATCTAACCCCGGTGTAAACAGTGCTATGTTGACAGGAGACGTCTCTCCTTTCGGGGAGGTGGAGTACCTACACGGATGGGAGAAACTCTCCCGTCGACATAGGTAATCTCTTCACTAAATGCTACAGCAGCGCTGCTGCAGCGTTTTAAGTGTAGTCAAACCCGTAGATCCTGCTTCCTCAGTCTCTGCTCTTCTCTATCTCTGGTACCGCAGGAGCTCCTTCCTCCTTTCTGTCCCTTGGTTCCTTCTGTTCCATTCCTTCTCTTTTCTTCCTTAGTCAGTGGAACTCCAACTTTGACTTCTGCAGCTGCGGTTTTTTATGTATCTGACTTGTAAAATCAGTAAAAATAAAAGAAACCCCTCTTGCACTTTCAAAGAAGCAAGTATCTTGCAAGACTTGGATGCTTATGATTAAATATGAATAAACGATGGTGAATTTCTGGGCAATTTACAATAGTGCCAATAGATAAAGTTTCATGACAGATAAGAAACCAGGCAGAAAGTAGGAGAAAAAGCATGCTGCCTGCATCCTGCCATGCCATGTGTAACTTGCTCACTATTGGATTCTTAAGCTTACTGATTATAGCATCAGCCTGGGTTCAATTAGAACTGATCTTTCATGGAGAGCTTGAAATGACTCGTGTATGCCAAGGATTAAGAGTGGTAAAATGTTTAACCTCATGCCACTCTTAATCTGTGACAAACAAAATGTATTCAGGATTCAGTTACACATAGAATGCATAAGATATAAAAATGTAATGTGCAGTGTGCAGATTCCCTTTTTTGTATTGTGACCTCTGATTGTTTGATTTTGATCAGTCGATAATTAGTAGTAATTACCCTTTCTATTTTTGCCAGCTAGAATCTCTTGTGTGTACCACTAGATTGTACCTTCCACAAACTTCTGTTTAACTCCGCCATCACAATGTGGACTTGGTATAAGCAATCGTTCTCTTCCACATGGTGATCTTTTCCCCCTCAGGTGGATTCCTGTTAATCCATTTACCAATTTGTTTTAGGAAAATATTTCATCAGCAGGATGGGCAGGATGGTAAATTTTCATGATGATTTTCCAAGGCTGTGTCTAATTTTTTTCAAGCGGGTAAATTCCAAGAAAGCAGGAATATCTCTACTACTGGTTTGCTCATCTTTTGACCACTCTTGTGAGGAACCAAGCAAGCAACATTCCTAGAATTTATCTTCTGCTGTCTTTGACTTGCCCACCTACGTTGGAAATAAATGAAAAACAATAAAGTTTGTAAGGAGGGGGAAATTGCAATTTTATCTACAAGTCTACATTCAAGCCATGTTTGTAAAGTAACAGCTTCTATTTTGGGAGGCTCAAAATGCCTTGCAAGGTCTGGAGATTATATTTCCTTTTAGAAATATTTAGGTTTAGTTGCACCATAAATTACAGGATGGAATGTTTTAAGTCAACATGAACTTTTGAAAATAAACATCTGGTTATTTTCATTTTTATTATTAATCAGGCACAGGGCTGGTGTGCAGACCTGCATAACATTTGTGAATGCACCTATAACACATGATACAGAGAATAAGGACATTTGTTAGAAAGGGAGTATAGCCAACATGTTCTAAGTATATGGAGTTTAGTGGTAAAATACTTTACTTGTCAGTTGGTGTTTGCCACAAAATATACCTAGAAACAATTTATTGCATAAAACACAGTGCTAAGGGCTTGATCCCTGAAAATAGGAGTGTTTCCATTGACATCAGTGGGAGTTGAATTAGACCCTAAAATATTAGTTACAATACACACTTGTTTGAAACCAACATATTGCATAATCAGTAGTCACCATTGCCTCCAGGATGCATGACTCTAATCATCTGAGTTGTCCTCCCAGGTCTGTCTTTTTCTTGTTTTGATAAAAGCTCTGATATTTCCAGGCTGTTTTCCAGGCTGCCTTCCGAATCAGAGTAGTAATAACAATATAAAATTATAATTATGAAAATAATTATTATATAATTACTTGTATTAAAATTTATAAAATGTTCACGGTGTGTGTGTGTGTGTGTGTGTGTGTGTGTGTGTGTGTGTTACGTAAGGTGAGATTCGTTAGGTTTAGCGGAGGGGTGG